GTTTGTTTTCTGATTAATAGCAACTACAAGGGCTCTCAAAACTGGTTCAAATAAAATATTTTAACTATCAGTGACTGTAACAGTATACTGAGTGTACTTGTTCCCTGTGTTTAAGGGCATTTATTTGCATCCGTGGTCAAAGAGGAAAGATCAGTTCAATAATATTTTTTAAAAACCTTCAAAAAGTTTCCAATAACACAATTCAGTCAACACATCTCAAAACAAGAATCGGAAGTTGCAACTAGTTCAGTTTGAGTTCAGTTTGAGATCAGTTCTGACTAAACTCCTTTAAGCTGCACGTAATCGTTCAAAACAATGAAAATGATTTCATCTCTCTTTTTTCTCTAGTGAAGAAGATTTTCAATGACACCTCGCGATGAAAACCACTTCTTTATCGAACCTCTTTCCATCATTATCTAAAACTCTCTTTAAAGTTAAGGTTTCCTCCAGCCATTTCTCTTCGATAGCAAACCCTTCAAAGCTCGAAACGTAACCAAAATGCTCCGCCACACCTTGAATGAACAAGCTACCCTCGCTTGGAGCTAGAGGCCGGTTTAAATTTTCATTGGGAAGATGCGGCTATAGGATGAACTCTCCGACGCCCAATTCTCCGTCTTTTCCGAATTCCATCAGCAGTTTAAGGGCAACGAAGATAATTTCATTTTTTTTCTTCGCAAGGTAAAGATTTTCTAATCTCGCCACTGCAACCGCTTCTTTATCGCATCTCTTTCCCTTATTTCTAAACCCGTTTACATTGGCAAAATTTTGCAACTTTTTCTCTTCGGTTGAAAACCTTTGAAACCTTGACAAATATTGAAAATTCTCGGCCATATCTTGGCTTGGAGCTGGCGGCCGGTTTCTAGCGATATACGGCAAACTCACCGACACCTTACTCTCCTTTCTCCCCAAACTCCATCGGCATTTTAGGCGTACAGCTCGACTCGATCAGTTTTTTTGGCCCATTGATCTCGTTAAAATAGTGAGCAGTGATCCACTCACCATTGTCGAGCACCCTCCGGAAGTTCAATCTTTCCTTACGCGCAGAAATACACGTCGCTTATTCATTCTGACGATACTCGTTGTCTTTCATGAAGTGCATGACGAAAAACATTGGACCATGTTTCCCTCATTTCGAAATGTTTCTTCCCTCTTGATTTCTTTTTTATCCACTGGATTCTTATACACATGCTCCCATCCTGATTAACCTTCTCTCAGGCGATGCAATCCTCGACCCTCTCACTATCTAGGATTTTCCGAGCTAAAAAATCCCTTATAGTTTTAAAATAGTCAGGTTACGCATACAAGGTCATGATGGCCTGTTTTCCTTTTTAATTGAAAAGTAATAGTAGCAGCATAAACAGATATTGTCTGAATTTGACTTAAAACATTTATTTTCTCTGGCAAAAGTATATTTTCGTGTCGGAGTTTTGCAACCATTTAATTAGGGGCTGTTACGGGTCAAGCTTTTCTTAGAACTAACCTCTCCACAGACATCTGTAAACAATTCTTAGAACCCAGACATCTACATCCCGTATAACCTGCCTTGATTGGTTGATATCANGGTAGGAAGGGTCATAAACAAGGAGAGTTTAATTTTCCTACTGGCATAGCGCATGATAAGAATAAGAACATAATTGTTGTGGATACTAATAACCACCGCGTTCAATTGTTCAATGAGCAAGGTGAGTACCTGAACCAGTTTGGTGGTAAAGGAAATCTTGATCACCAGCTGAGTTGTCCTTTTGGTTTATCTGTTGACGGGAATGGAAATATCATTGTTGCCGATAGGGGTAACAAACTTATAAAAACCTTTTCATCTAATGGCCATTTTTTGTATAAACTTGGTGAAGGTGAAGTTTTTACTGCTCCTTCTCACTGTATTCAATATAACAAACATCTCATAGTGTCAGACAGTGGTGAACATTGTATCAAAGTGTTTGATATAAATGGCGATTTTTTGTATAAATTTGGAAATAAGGGATACGGGGGTGGGCCGTTCAATAAATCTCGTTTTTTGTCAGTTAACAAGGCAGGACACCTGATGGTCTGTGATATAGAGAATCACGGAGTTCAGGTATTTGAACTGAGTGGTAAATTTGTAACAAAGGTTGGAGAGAGAGGTAATGGGCCAGGAGAGTTCGAATGTCCAACATGTACAGCAGTTCTTAGTGATGGCAGGATAGTTGTGGCTGACCGGTTGAACAATCGTATTCAGATTCTTGGGTAAATGTTGATAAATGCAACTCCTGTTACATTCAAACTTTGAAGTAATTCTGAAAATAGCTGCATCACAACACCGAGGTTTTTTTTTCTTTCTGGTTTCAATTGGTGTATCCGTATCGTCCATTTGTAATCTTAAGATTGTAGTTTCTTAGGGAGGACAAACACCACAGATCGAAGACAAATTGCTGTGATAGTGCTTTAGATTCTAGTTTGTTAGAGAGAGCAAACACTAGAGATTGAAGAAAAATTGTTGGGATAGTGTATTCACCACTGAAAGAGAAGCATCAATCAATAAACTGAGTTTGATCGAATGAGGAAAGTAATAATCTGTTTCAGAGTGGTCAGCTTTCTAGTGTTATTTACATACGTTTAAACGACAGGGTTGTGCAGCTCAGTTAAAATTAATTCGGGAAATGGAAGTTCAGTTCCGTTGGGCTCAAATCCGGCTCGTGAGGGAAACCTCCAAACCATATTCCTTACAGCAATGTATAGATGATAAGCTTTTAGGATCACACGTTTTTTCCCCTGACTGATTCTTATGAACGAGAGCGAAAAAAATTCCACTTTTTCTCAACTACCTGAACATCCACTTACCATGTGTTTGTTTTATCATTGGAAGGTGCAAGGGCTCTTAAAACTATAAAAATATTTTAACTATCAGTGACTCGAACAGTATACTTGCTCCCTGTGTTTAAGGGCGATCTATTTCCCTGTGTCTATGTGGTCAAAGAGGAAGGATCAGTTTAATACTATTTTTCAAAACCTTCAAAATATTTCCAATAACACAAGTCACTCAACACATCTCAAAACAACAATCGAAAGTTGCGAGTTCAGTTTGAGTTCAATTCTGAACTAAACTCTCTAAGCCTAGCTTAATCGTTCGCAACAACGAAAATGATTTCGTTTCTCTTCTT